AGTTATTATTATTTCAATAAAATAAACTACATTTGAAAAAGTAATTTTTGTAATTATTTATTTAATCCAAATAAAAATTCAGCTCATCAGACGCTATGGTATTTCTGTCGTCTCAAGCACATTTATTTTGCACTTCTGCAGTGTCTTTTCGATACAGCAGAAGGTGGTTCCAGAATAGGTGCAAATGCCAAGTACAAGTGCAAGTACAAATGCAAATCCCATGAGTGCGAAAGAGATAGGTAATCTATCTATCTCTCTTGCACTCATGGGATTTGCATTTGGACTTGTAGTTGCACTTGCTTTTTGCACCTATTCTGGAACCGCCTAGACGTCTTGGTTTAGCGTGACCGCTGTACACTTTGAAAAATCGTCGGGTTCTGTATAGCAGTTGTGCTGAAAGATGACGTCTACTATCTTTGAAAGACACAGCAGTCGTGTCAAATAATTGTATTTAAGACGACAGGGATACCAGCGTGTTTGATGATCTGAAATTTTTTCTGTGTAATAATCAAGTAACCGGTTATTTACCAAAAAAATCAATTGCTTTCATTAATTATAATTTTCTAATATTAACAATAGAATCGGCATCTACGATTTAAAAAAAAATTTGAAATAAGGATGTCAGATTCGTAATCAGCGACGTCGAAAACCTCTGAGTAATAAGTTTCAAGTACAACTGATTTTTTTAAAAATATCATCCAACATATTGGATCCGCCATTTTGAAAGGAAAAATTCCAATATCCGTTTTGTAATTAGCGAATTAACAACCATCGTCAATAACTAAACGATAAATTTTCTTACTTATTTACAGATATGCCGTAAAATAATGCATTTTTAAATTTGCATTTTTATAAATGTACGAATTATTTAATATAATGTACGTTTATTTTTATTGTATATTTTATATATATTATTAATATAATGTATCAATTATAATTAGGATAATAATTATAAATAATAATAAAAATGATTAATTATTATAATTATTAATGAGTTATTAATTAATAATTTATTTATTATTAAATAATTATAATAATTAAAAATAATAATAATAATAATTATTATTATTAATTATACATAATTACAAATTTCAAAGAAAAAGTTAATTAAATAAAATTTGATAAGAAGACAGATTTAATTATCTAATAATTAATCATTTAAATAAATAACTTCTAAAATTTTTAATATGATTGCATAATTGTATGTAATATTAATTATATTTAATAATTACGTCAATATTCGTATTCCACAAGCATTTTGTTTCATAATTAGAGAGAAAAATTTGTAAAATATAACATTGTACGATTTCAAAATTGTAAAATCTAACATTTCGAAACTTTTTGTTAGTAAAATCTAAAAGTTTTTTTTTATCTTTATTATAATATCAAAATATTCACGATTGTAAAATATAACATCATGACAATAAAATTTGTGTGAAAATGATACTGACTCTATAAGCGCTGCATTTATACCTTTTACAACAGTCTACATCAGGATGCGATTCAAGGAACAACCTAATAAGCTGCCAGTCGTAAATCTGGACTCAATTGTTGAACAACAAGAGAAGAAAGTTAAGCGTCATGGTAGTTTATTATCAGGTAGTATTCGTGCAATTTTCTGTGGCCCATCAAATTGTGGAAAAACAAATGTATTACTATCTCTAATTCTAGATCCTAATGGTCTCAGATTTGACAACATTTACTTATACTCAAAATCATTACAACAACCAAAATATAAATTCTTAGAACAAGTTGTGAGTAACGTTGATGGAGTTGAATATTTACCATTTAGTGATCATGAAGAAGTAATTGCTCCTAAAGAAGCAAAACAAAATTCAATATTTATATTTGACGATATTGCTTGTGAAAAGCAAGACAACGTAAGGGCATTCTTTTGTATGGGTAGACATGTTGACGTTGATTGTTTTTACCTCTGTCAAACATATGCTAGAATTCCTAAACATTTAGTACGTGATAATGTTAATTTATTAGTCCTTTTTCGTCAAGATGAGAAAAATTTAAGACATGTGTATGATGATCATGTTAATACTGACATGACATTTAATCAATTTCGAGAGTTATGTTCAACATGTTGGAATTCAGACAAATATGGCTTTGTAGTAATTGATAAAGATTCTAATTTAAATGATGGAAGATATAGAAAAGGATTCGACAGTTTTCTAGCACTATAAATACACGATAATTTTTAAAATAGTATTAGTGTTGTTTTAAAACTTGAAATATCAACATGTTTCATAAAGAGAAAGAGTATCTACGTCAAATTGCTAAAGCTAGTGAGGCAATTAGACGGAAGCATCGTATGTTGAAATTAGGGAAGGAAGCTGTCGAAAATGTTTTGAATGAAACTTTTAAGCCAGTAGTTCAACCTTTACAAAAAATTATTAACTTGACAGATTATAAACATGAAAATGTTAATATTGAAAAGAAAGAAGAGATTGAAAATAAAGCTGCATCTGATAAAAATGATAGTGATGATGATATAAATTATATGAGTACTGATGATGGTGAAACACTAAAACCCGGATCTGACATTGATAAATTAGTTAGTAAATATATATTTTTGATAAAACATAATAGAAAACAATGTTTGGATATGATATATGGAGTACGCAAAGCTAATGATGGTTCCCTTATGATTGGTAATAAAACCATAATCTTTAAAAATCACATTGTAGATATTGAAGATAAACGTTTTAAAATTACCTCTGGGTTATTAGAACTTTTATTTAAAAACAAACCTGAAAAATCATACATTAGTGAACATGATATGAATAGTTATAAACAAATTCTTACCACCTCCAATGCACATAGAAAAAACTATAGTTCCTCTAACTCTATTCATAGAGATAAAAGTTTTAAATACATGAATATTATATCAAAATTATTTCCTTCTACAAAAGAGTCATCTATAAGTGGTAGTTCACTACCTAAATTTATGATTGCGAATAAAAGTTTTAAACCAGATTATATTTATTGGGATGATCCAAATGAATTGGTTGATCGTCTTCGATTACTTATGGCATCTCAAGGAGCTGGTAATACTAGTCATAATAATGAAATTATGTCAATTATTGAGGAATTACGTGAGGCTAAAATCATATATTAAGGTGTGCTTTAGTAAATGTCATTCATTTCAATAATGAGCATTGATCTGTTCGGACATCCTCTCAGTCAAGGAGGAACAGTAATAGCAAGACGTGGACCTACTGGAGTTGGATTTAAAGTTAATTCAAGTGGACACTTTGATATAGATAATAAAAGACTTTGTAACGTTAAAGACGCTGAAGAACTGCATGATGCAGTAAATTTAAGACTTGTACAAAACATTGTAAAAAACGAAATAAAAACTATTTTCCAAGTTACGTCATCATTAAGATCATCTATTGATGACTTGAATCTTTTTATGCAAATTATTGAGGATAGAGTTAACGAAAAACTAAAACAAATTGAATCACAGCAAAATTTATATTTAATGCAGCTAAATTTATTAAAGAATGATGGCTGATAAAAAGTTAACAGTAGTAACTGAACTTCATACACAGGCTAGAAAAAATTTCCATCGCCGTCGCGTAGAAATGCGTGATATTGATGACACCTGGCAAGCAGATTTAGTTGAAATGCTACCTTATTCAAAAATAAACAAAGGTTACAATTATTTACTTACAGTCATAGATATCTTATCCAAGTATGCTTGGGCTGTTCCAGTAAAAAGTAAAAATGGAAAAGATGTGACTAACGCAATGAAATTCATATTTGAAAAAGGACGTATTCCAAAGAACCTTCATTCCGATAAAGGTAAAGAATTCTACAATTCTCAATTTGAAGCTTTAATGAAAAAGTACAAAATTAATTTTTATTCAACATACAGTAACTTGAAAGCATCTATTGTTGAAAGATTTAACAGAACACTTAAAAGGAAAATGTGGATGCAATTCAGTTTACGAGGAAATTACAAGTGGTATGATATATTACCTAACCTTATTTCTACTTATAATGACACAAAACATAGAACAATTGGAATGAAGCCTAATGATGTTACTGCACAACATGTTGATATTTTAAAAGATCGAATCTCCAAGCTCAGAAAAATTCCGTTAAGACGATCTAAATTTAAAATTGGTGACAAAGTGCGAGTTAGCAAATATAAAAATATTTTCGAAAAAGGTTATACTCCTAATTGGACTACTGAAATATTTACAATTGATAAAGTGGAATCAACTCAACCTGTGACTTACAAACTCAAGGATTACCAAGATCAACCCATCAGTGGAGGATTCTATGAAGAGGAGCTTCTAAAAGTGAAATATTCAGACATTTATCTTGTTGAGAAAATTCTCAGGACACGTGGAAACAAAGTTCTTGTCAAGTGGCTTGGTTTCGATAACTCTCACAACACTTGGGAAGACAAAGCAAATGTATAATTTATAGTTAATGTTAAATCAATGTTGAATCAATGTTGAATCAATGTTAAATCAATGTTGAATCAATGTTAAATCAATGTTGAATCAATGTTAAATCAATGTTAAATCAATGTTAAATCAATGTTAAATCAATGTTGAATCAATGTTAAATCAATGTTAAATCAATGTTGAATCAATGTTGAATCAATGTTAAATCAATGTTGAATCAATGTTAAATCAATGTTGAATCAATGTTAAATCAATGTTAAATCAATGTTAAATCAATGTTGAATCAATGTCAAATCAATGTTAAATCAATGTTGAATCAATGTTAAATCAATGTTAAATCAATGATGAATCAATGTTGAATCAATGTTAAATCAATGTTGAATCAATGTTAAATCAATGTTAAATCAATGTTAAATCAATGTTAAATCAATGTTAAATCAATGTTATAATGTATATATGTAAGGAATTTTTAAATAAAAAACACATGAAATTAAAATACAATTGTTCTATTTATTTATTTTATCACAGCCTTTACATTTCCCGACATTTTTTCTTGAACTTATCAACTATTTACAAATCGTCGAGATTTGGGATCGCATAGTGACCCCACGGTAGAGTATCGGTACTCCCCGGTAACAAATACCGTTTATCGTCTTGTGGAGATAAGGCTACTTTCAACTGTTTAACAGTTTCAACATTGTGTAGCCGCGATCTTATATTATACTGCGTGCGAGTTTGAATGTCAAAATCTCGTAGACATTTTACATAATCATCAAATTGAATGGTCTTTTTAACAACGCCGGCTTTAATACCTTTGGCTTTTTTAATAAAATCTTTATCTTCGACGCGTACACTGTACAGCTTACTCCGCAAGCCAACAAATTCAGTTAGAATTCTACCGTTGCACTCATCTTTCATGAGGCCGAGGATCTTTTTGTTGGCTTGCGGAATGCCGTACACGTTGCTTGCGGGATAATCTGACGTATCAAACTTTTGGATATCATTTTTCATGTCATTGTAGACATCTTTGCATTTGATTTCATAGATTAGACTGTCTGTATCGGTATACATCAGTTTACAATTTTCACCGTACTTTTCTAACATATATCCGTAGTGAAAATCATAGATTAGCGTCTTAGATATATCAAGCACACTTAACCCTACGTATATCGGTTTGTTGAGTAGTACTTCGGTTTTACGCAGTTCAATGGCAACCAGATTCTCATCGAATATCGCTCGACTATGGAAGTTGGGTCGGGAAATAAGGGCTTCAGCTCCGTAGCGACCAAACCATTGTGTAACAAGCTTAATGTCGACATGTTTACGGACATTTTCCATCGTCTTACCGTAAACAGCGTTGTTCATTAGTTTGAACAAATTCTTTTCAAACTCATTCTTGGCGTTGGTTCTCATCATCGTGTTGTAGTCAATGTACGGTTTAAGCCAAGTTGACTGCTTAAACTGTAGCACGCGGTGAATTTTAACAAGTTTAATGCCATTTGAGAGAACTTGCTTTAGCGTTCGATAATGTATCACATACTTTTCTTTTGGCAGGAGAGTTGTTAATAATTTCTCCTGCTTTGATAATGGAGGTTTCATATTTTCAGCACAGAACGGCATGTCTTTGTGAGTATCATGAATTTCTTTCGGATACTCCAAATCGACTTCTAGAATGTACCCAATAGGGGAATCGTCAGGTAAATTAAAATTAAAAGCATCATCGACATTTTCAACCCATTTAAAGCCGCCATAAGGGAGCGATTGTGCCATTGCCCAACCATACAAATTATTGGCATCGAAGTACATTATATAACTTGTATCTTCGGCTTTATCAAACTTTTCCATATACGGATTATTCGCTTTCGCATAGCGGTTGCAACATTGACTAATGCCACCTCTGATACCCGACTCAACAAACATAATCATATCAATATCGGTTATAAGTTGTAATCCTATACTCGTGTACTTGAGCATAGCATCCCAAGTTAAACCAGGGGTTGTATAATAGTGTGCTGGATCTAATCCGTACGCTTTAATACATTGTTCTCGGAAATTCTCAAAAACATCTGCAAGCAATAATACATCAGTTTTCATGTATAAATGAACATAGTCATTGAGATTTTGACAATCAAACTCAGACCATACATTCTGTGCATGCTTATACTCTTCATCAGAAATACTAGCATCGTAAAGAGTACTGTAAAATTTCTCTATCGGGGGTAATTCAGTCTCATCTAACTTACTTTTGGAGTCGAAATACTCATATGGAAATACTCCCTTTCGCGTCAACAGTTTTATTTTATCCGGATCTGTCACCGTACTGGAAAAAACGAGGTTGACAATTTTATACTCGTCTAAATACGATGCGAGTTTTTCTAGGGATGCTGCCATGAATCGCAATGAGTCGATGAATCGAAATTTGACCTCACTCCCCTTAACATGTTTGGTGAAGGAGATATACTTCTCCTTGTTAATGGGGAGGAGGTTAATTTTCCCTTCAAAGCTCGTAGAAATCGCGTGAATTATAAAATGGGCGTCATAGCCACTTAGGTTATGGAAAACTACAGGGATCGTTTGACAATCTTGATAATTTAGATTACATGATTCATGGGCAGCACCCCTATATTTGCCAGTAAGGTGACAATGATCGCGGACTTTCTTTTCGCTTGCAGGTATTTTCTGATGACAAATATGACAAGTGGTTTCTCGCTTGAAATCATTGATTTCCTGAGGAGTTAAGGCAGTCATTGGTATTGGATTTTTAAAGACATTATCAATTTTTTCAGATAATTGCCTTAATTCCTCAGTGAACCATTTAGCTGGGTCGGATTCATGCTTCGGACAAGGTACATATTTACATAATGATTCATCGTAACTACATTTTATATAATAGCCGATGCTTAACAATTTATGTCGCTGGAACACTTCAGTCTTACTTAAATTGTCTACATCTTCATCGGCGGGAAGAAGTAAACTTTCACAGTCGGCGTATATCACAAAAGGAACTTTTTCCTTATTTTTATAATTTTTAAACGTGATTGTACACTTATCGGGCTTTGGTAATTTAATTTTACACTCATTCATTTTTTTACAATTTTCGAGATGTTCATTCAGTCTATCTATAGAAGAAAAATAATGTAAGCATCTGTCACATATATGTTTTTTACCATTTTTAGCAGACAATTGTTTCGACACAAGGCGTGATAAGTCTTTTATCCATACATAATGGAAATTCAAAAAATCACCGCCATCACATATTATATTCTCTTCAACACTCTCATCCGCATACATATCCGCAACGTATAAGAGATTTACATGTTTATCTCTTTTCTCCGCAGTGAGGTGAAGAGGATGTACTGAAAAATCACCGTAAAACTTTGAAAGTCCATAGACATTAATTGAAATGTCATTCAACTTTTCAAATTTCGGGACATTTTTTAGTGATACTGGAAAATCTATGCCTTCAAAATTCAAGTCATCATTAAATTCTTCATAACTGGAAACTCGATCACTTCTTACTACATTTGAATGTAAGGCTGAGAGAACGGCCCACTTAAAACATTTATTATCTTCATTTTTCACGTTAATACAAGCTTTTTTTCTTTTAATTTGGGGTGGTAGATCAATATATGAGCTTGCACGCAAAGGGTTATACTTGTTTACATTCATTTCAAGTCTTATAATTGATTGGAGATTCCAATTTGAACCCTTTGCGTGAAATTCTTCTACGCTGCGCAAGATTGGCTGCTTAATGTTCTCATCGAACCAATCATCTAAGAGGGTTGTGATGAAGATGCTGTTAGCCTTGCATCCGAAAGGAATAGGCTTAACAATCTCCTCACCATTCTCAACCCTTTTAAAATGTGCGATGAGAACACCATACACCAAAATGGGTCCATTCTTATTTAAGGCCCCTTTTATGTGATCTTGAAAAAGCGTGGACGCATCGTTCAAGAATGCGCTAATATCGATATGTACTAAGTTTAGGACTGCATTGGTGTACAATCTACACGCAAATGCACTCTCACACTCTTCCCAGCGCACACGATTCTTAATATCTGGGTCACCGATTCCAGCGCCATCTACAATGTGAGACTCGAATAACGCGCGAAACCTAATGATGGATTGTAGAATGCTCACACATCTCTGCTTTTGATGTGTAAAATACATCGATTTTAAAATGCTGGACAACAAGTTTTCATGTTGTGAACATTCTACAATCCATCGATCAACAAAAGAGCGTCTTACATTTACGTCATCGAGCAGTGGAATCAGTTCAAGAGCTTCCTTGATGAGAGCAACAGTTAAGTCACTCTCATCAAGGATGGTCGCGTAATTTGGAAACTTACGTGGTCCATCGGTGGTTGTAGCCTTCCGCTTCATGTCTGAACCTGAAATTGAACTTACAAGCTAACACACTTAACCTAAAAAACAAACTTAGAATATAAAATACTTAAACTGAACAAAACGAACTTAGAAACTAAATTACTTAATCTAGAAATAAGAAAGATAAATATAATAAACAAAAAAAATACAATAAAAATCAAAAAACACACTTATAAGCTAAAATCCTTAAACTAATCAGAACAAACTTACAAACTAAAGTACTTAACTTAGAAATCAAAACAAAGTAAATGCAATAAACACGGTAAATATAACAAGAAATGTAAAAAAAAAAGATAGTAAATATATCCAAAAAGTAATAAGACAGTTAGTAATAGCCAAGGGAGACTCCTGCTGCTGCTGCTAAACCTGTGAACAGAACAGTTATTGACTGAAACTGCTAGAGATCCTCAATATATACCCCAGAATCCCCACTCTCACCTTTCGCGCATGCGCTGTTTACAATTTACCCCACTTCTACTTATTACCCCTACTTCTATCTTTACACATTAGCAGTATCACATTTTTCCCTCACTCATACTTATTACCCCCACTCCTATGATTACGCTTGCGCAAAAAAAAACTTATTTAAAAAAACTTATTTATTTATTAAATATTAATATTAATATTAATTATAATATTAAGTCGTCTCTGACGACGACGACGACGACGACGTTGACGACCTCCAGCAGGAGGGGGTGGCGTCGGCATCCTGGGCTGCGGAGGGGGGGTCAGCGCCCTTGAAGTCTCCACCCTGGCCTCTGGAGCTTCCACCCTGGACCTTGGTGTCTCCACCCTAGCCTCTGGGGTTGGCGACCTTGGAGGACCCCACAGCGGGCTCTGCCAAGGCCTCACGACGGCAACCGGTCGCGCCTGACCCTCTGGAGTCGGTGCCTGTGGTTGCGCTTGACCCTCTGGAGTTGGTGTCGCCGGACGATACCAAGGATCCCTTGGTGGGGTTCTCGGAGACCCCAGCTCCACAAACGGTGGTGGCGACTCTGGACGGTGCAAGGGATACCTGGGTGGAGTCCCCGGTGGCGTCGTCGGGAACGGTACCTCCATACCTGGATTCTGCAACTAAAAAATATTAACATTATATTACATTATACTATACTATATTATATTATATATATTATTAATACTTACATTGTGTATTGACACCTTCTTCACGTAGCACTCATAGCAGTAGCAGCTCTCCATCGTCATCGACCACTCGGGATTGATCTGCTGCTGCGAATGAGCTAGTGCCGCTGAGCTCGTAAGCTTAAAGGCTCCTACTCCCACCACGCGCTCACCCCACCACGCGCTCTCATCACCTTGTGTGAGCGGCGGCTGAGTGAAGCTCCTACAATTTGAACACGCCGTCGGTAACGCGCGAAATTTAAATTCAAATATTATTCCTACACTTTATAATATTTAATATATTAAATTAGTATTGTTTAATTTATTACTGAATTTAATATTCAAAGTTATAAAAAAAAAAGATGAAATAATGATAAAAAAGTTATAAACAATAAGTAATAATTAATATTAAATCATCTATAAGTAATAACATTTATTAAAAAATATGAATATTAAAAATTAGTTATTTATTATTGACCTTAACTTTATTGAAAATGAAATATATTAATTATAAATAATTATACTTACCTTAATAGATTAATTATAAGAATATTTACAATGAAAAGAGAGTATATAAAATAATATTTCATTAATTTATAATGAATATGAAATTAATTTTACACAAAAAAAACATACAAAATGAAACTAGTGTTTAAAATTATAAAAGTATAGAAATAAAAGGAACAGCAAATGCAACTTTGTACAGGAAAAGTCTGAGCAGTGTAAAAAAAAACTTTAAAACATGCAATCAAAATATAAAGCAGCAAATTATATAAAATAAAAAAAATGAATTTATTATGAAAAATAATAATTAAAATGTACATATGAATAAATGATATATAATATTAAAACTTGAAATATTTTTTTCATATGTACATTATAGAACAATGCAATATATAGAGAATATATATTACATAAGTGAAATGTGATATAACGTTGAAAAGATTATTTAAAACAAAGAAAAATATTCAATAGATAATAAATATATATTCAAACCTTTCTTTTGACACATTTAATCTACAAAACAAATAAATAAACAATAATATACAAAATAATAAAAGAATAAATAAACAATAATATACAAAATAATAAAAGAATATATAAACAATAATATACAAAATAATAAAAGAATATATAAACAATAATATACAAAATGAAAAAAATATGAATAAACAATATTATACAAAATGAAAAAAAATATGAATAAACAATATTATACAAACTAAAATTGTGCTACATGCAACCGTTATGGAATGAAATGGATTGCAAAAATTAAAAAAAATATCTGGTAAAATGAAAAAAGAATTCGATTTTGTATATTATTGTTTATTTATTTGTTTTGTAGATTAAATGTGTCAAAAGAAAGGTTTCTGTTTGAATATATATTTAATATGTATTGTATAGATTCAAACTAAAACCTTTTTTTTATTATACACTTACTATACAAAAAAATTGTACAATAATATACAAATGAAATATAGTAATTAAATTTAATGAAAATAAAAGGAAAAGAAAAGAAGAAGAAATTTTTTGACTAAAATCATGCTATAAAAGTAAAAGACATTGAAAAAACTAAAAAAACAAAATGTGAAATGAAACAAAATTTAAAAAAAAAGAAATAAGAATGAGAAAAAATAATGTTAATTAAAAAAGAAATAAGAATGAGAAATTTTTTGACTAAAATCATGCTATAAAAGTAAAAGACATTGAAAAAACTAAAAAAAAAACAAAATGTGAAATGAAACAAAATTTAAAAAAAGAAATAAGAATCAGAAAAAATAATGTTAATTAAAAAAGAAATAAGAATGAGAAATTTTTTGACTAAAATCATGCTATAGAAGTAAAAGACATTGAAAAAACTAAAAAAAAACAAAATGTGAAATGAAACAAAATTTAAAAAAAGAAATAAGAATCAGAAAAAATAATGTTAATTAAAAAAGAAATAAGAATGAGAAATTTTTTGACTAAAATCATGCTATGGAAGTAAAAGATATTGAAAAAACTAAAAAAAAAACAAAATGTGAAATGAAACAAAATTTAAAAAAAGAAATAAGAATGAGAAAAAAAATGTTAATTAAAAAAGAAATAAGAATGAGAAAAAAATATTTTAACGCTTCTTCTTCGAAGAGGCTGTAGCAAATGCTAACATAGCCTTTGTTAAGCGTTTACGCTGTGTACCCCTGAGCGGTCGAGCAGCAATTTCAATTGCACGTCGCGGGGCCGCTTCTTGTATTTCGTGACGTGGAGCTGTCCGAAGGGATGATACGTGTGATACACGAATTTTTTTTTTAACGGGGTATTTTTCAGATTCTTCACAATCTGGAATTTGTTGCAAATGTGCCGAGGGTTGTGTGGAAGTTCCAGATTGTGAAGAATCTGATGTTATTATCTGTGGGTTGGTTTTTCTTCTTTGACAAGTTTTCTCATCTATTGGATCCGGTTTTTTTGAAATTATTGCTGGTTTTTGATCCCATCTTTTTCGCCTTATAAATAAATTTGGCTCTAAAGGGTTGTAGGACATATTACGCATTGCGTCAATCGCTACTTCAATTTCATTCTGAAAAAAAAACATCACAATGTTAATATGACATGTTATAAAAAAAATGTATAAGTCTGTGAGAAAATGATATGATTTCTATCATTAACTACTTTTTCCAAAAAAAATCTATATAATATTAATTTAATGATGAATATACTTAACTTTTAATAATAAGATTGTTGACAGTAATAAACTCAAGATAACCTCTAAATTTTTAATTAGTATTTATTCACTTTAGAATTTTTATTAATTAATAAATATTACACAGATTTTTTTTTGGAAAAAGTAGTTAATGTTATGTCAATGTAATGAATAACATACTTTAAATTATGTGTTTGAATTATACAATAAATAATACTTACAATTTCTTTTTGGAGAGTTCGAAAATAACAATTTTCTCTCCTGCAATAGCAATATACCCAAAGCTTCCTTGAATCCTACGTTTAAGAGAAATATAAAATAAATTATTTTAACATATTATATTTTTTATACATGATATATATTAATAAAATATTAATAATATTATTTACCGTCATTATAAATTGTCAGCTGAATATATAAAATGTATGGTTTGACAATAAATATGGCGGCTCAGGGATGAAACAGTCAGAAATGTTACCCATATTTTACACAATTTTTAAATTAGAAACACGGTTTTTATCAGTGACTGTATAATAAATATATTAAAAACTATTCGTGTTCAACAAAATCTTCACATAACTTCACTTGTATAAACGTATAAAATAATAAATTAAGAATATTTAATAATGTGAAAGTTTAAAAATCCCGCCATGTATTAAATTCTCATAAAATCTAGGAAATTACAAACTTGAAAATCTCGAATAAACTTAAATAAATATTTATAAAGTATTAAAAATTATTCATTATTAACAAATTAATTAAAATTTGTATTCTAAATTTGTAAACATAAGGATTTTTCTTACAAATTTCTTATAAGAAATTAAATCATTTTTTCACTAAGGGAATTGACCAATCAGAAAATTTATATTCTTTTAGGGCTAGTCGAATATCGATTCGAGAGTATTGAAAACAAAATCAGCGCGAAAATCGAATTTCAAAATGCTTGTTAAATAATAATAATAAAATAAATTAATGGTTTAACTTACCTTAATTAATAAATTGATTTAAAAATTTAAAGAAATAAATAATGTACCTAAATTTTAAGTAGCATTTATTAATAAATGTGTATATATTTTAAACTTACCTTAATAAACAATTAAAATATATTAATAAATCAATTACAACTTACCTTAGAAAACATATTAATAATTAGTTATGAGCAATATTAAATATAAGCAATAAACATTTAGATAATAATTCCTAATAAATATATTTATTAATAAATAATTAATAGTTAACAATTTTGACAAATTAACAACGTCATCTACTTTGACTTTTTACATCTACGCTTGACTATGTAGTTCAGTGAGTAAAACAGGGATGGGTAGCTCTCTGACCAAGCCAGTTTAAATGGTCGAATACACTACCGTCCGAAATTGTGCGAACTCTGCTTTTTCAACAAGTATAAAACTCTTCAAATCTTCAAAAATATTAAAACTAAAATTTTTTCTTCTTTATTTTATTAAAGTTAATAAAATTCTGAAAGAAATGACACCTTGACAAAGAGAATATGTTAATTTTTCAATTAGATATCTAAGAAAAACCCAATTTTTAATGTTTTTACAATTTTTTTATTTCTCTGGCAAAAATTAATATTTTTAAACGTTCTTAGGCTCATTGAAATCGTATTTTGTTATGCAATTCAAATTATATAAAACAATTCATGTACACATTCTTCCCTAGCGTATGCAAACCATGAAAGTTGGCTCATAAAATGTCAAAAAATTGTGATTAATATTTATATGACAAAAAATGATCAGTAAAATGTATAAATCTTAAATTTACTTACATAAATCAGAGAAGTTTAGAATGATATATTTACTTGATTTTTAAACATTATATTTTATTGTAGAATTAAATTTAAATTTTTTGACATTTTATGAGCCAACTTTCACGGTTTGCATACGCTAGGGAAGAATGTGTACATGAATTGTTTTATATAATTTGAATTGCACAACAAAATACGATTTTAATGAGCCTAAGAACGTTTAAAAATATTAATTTTTGCCAGAGAAATAAAAAAAATAGTAAAAACATTGAAAATTTGGTTTTTCTTAGATATCTAATTGAAAAATTAACATATTTTCTTTGTCAAGGTGTCATTTCTTTCAGAATTTTATTAACTTTAATAAAATAAAGAAGAAAAAATTTTAGTTTTAATATTTTTGAAGATTTGAACAGTTTTATAGTTGTTGAAAAAGCAGAGTTCGCACAATTTCGGACGGTAGTGTAAGTTTTTAAATTACCCGCCAAAATTTAAAATTGATATAGCCCAATTGGGTTAATTAATAGTGGCACCACTATTGGGTGGATAGTAAACTAACTCGACCGGTAAAACAAAATGGTAGCCAAGCCAATTTGAATTGTCAAATAAGTTTTTAAATTTCCCGCCAAGCAGATTTGAATTCGCTAGTGGCGCCATCTGTTGGGTGTCCACTCAACTAATTCGGTCGGTAAAACAAAATGGCGACCAAGCAAATTTGAATTTTCAAATAAATTTTTAAATTTCCCGCCAAGTGCTCTGTCGGTAAAACAGATTCCTACCATACCAACTGGGTTTGAATTCGACCAGCTGCTGATAATGTAGAAATCTGCATTACCGACAGAGCAGTTACCGACTGTGGGTAACTTAGCCGGGATCAGAACCTGTCCTAGAACTCTCCTAGCCATACTACTCACAGGTATCTAAAAGCACCTTTGTTTGTGCTTTCGGAATAAAAAGTATCCTAGCCAAATGCAGCTCATTAGTACTAATGGCTGCCTTTGCTCCTTGTTACTTAATATAATATTTTATCCGACAAGTAAAAAAGGGCATTTTATAAATATCTGAAGACCTGATATAAAGCCATTTAGACGTCTTTCGGATGGACACAGAGGTCCTAAAGACGTCTTTAAGGGGGGGTAAGGTTCATTCGGTGAAAAAAATGCATAATTTTACGAATTTTTTTTGGTCATACAAAAAGAGTTAATTAATTTATTCTTTTTGTATGTAATAGTGCAACATTTGAACAATGTTTTACCAAATTTTCATTGAAAAAGATTGAGAATTGAGTAAGTGACTGTATATCTCCCCCACAAAAAAAGTTATTTTGCGGTGTTCACTGTAACTCGTAATAGAATCAGCAAAAAAAAATCAAAATGCAAAAAATAGCCATTTGTTTCAAATTTTGGAAAATGATCTACTTTTATATAAAGAAACCACCCGTAAATTTTCAGAATTTTTTACAAAATAGTTTAAAAGTTGTATATTTTCAAATTTAACATGCTCTCTTATGGGAAAACCATTATTTTACATCTTTGAATGTAAAAAAGTAATATTAAAAAATAGCCAATTATTTTTAATAATATTTTCCAATAAGGTAAATAAAGAAGCTTCAATAATCAACAAAATTTTTATATATCTTAGATACCTTTATTTATAATGAAAATGATATAATTAGTGAAAAAAACAAGTGTTTCCAGCATGTCAGTAGTAAAGACGCGGCAACACTGTAAAGAAACCAGCAGATCCCGCGTGACTTGAGCAGAAAGATTTGTGACCGCGCGTAAAATTTGAATTCATCATACATTATTTCACTTTAATATTTCAAAAATTACATAATAATTTTTTTTTATATCATTATATTTATTATTTATTTCAAAATTTTTTTATTATAAAATAAAATAAGTCAATAACGACTTTGTTTGAAATGGTTTGTGTGTACGTTGCGCGTTGCGCATGCGTTGGCGCAGCAGAAAGATAGACAGCAGTCACTTTTCTTTGCTGCCAACGTTGAAAAGTTAAAAGTGTTTCATTGCGACGTTGCAGTGAATTTCGGCTTGTTATAAATTGTTATTTTATAGTTTAAAAAATTTTAATTAATTAAAATTCAAGTATATTATGACAAATTTTTAATTATTAAACATTTTTCTTACGTATTTTAATTGATATTTTTGGTAAATTAGAAAATATATTTTCATTAATTTCGTGTTTTATAGAAATTTCCAATTTGAAAAATGAGGAGGAAAATCCAGTTCCCAAAGATAGTCGTAAATTTTCTGATCCTGAACCAGAAATACATCGTATTGATTCTGGTAGGATATAATTAAGTTTTTATTCTTTTTTGGTAAGATTATAATTTTGCAATTATTTGATTGTACTTTATATCTAAAAAATATGTACACTACCATTTCCCGATGCTTTATACAAGTATAAACATTTTTAGAAATAATTATGAACCAAAAAGAATCAATAAACAGTAGTATATGTACATATGAGGCATTCTTCCTCGAACATCCTATTAAAAAATGTTAAGTTCTTTGAGTCATGTGAGTGAGATACGTCCCTCAAGTTTCAGTATTTTTTGCCAGCATTTTTTATTGAGATATATATTGACTTTTCATATTCTAAAATAAATATCTTTTTTGAAAACAACAATACATACTTTTCCTAAAAGTATTACGTTACAAGAGTATTTTTCAAAGTTCTACATAAAATTAAAAAGTTAAGACATTTGAATTTTTTAGTAAAAAATGGTTTTTCTCTTTTTACAAAATAACATTTTTGTGGAGATACAGTCTGTTAAGTAAGAGCGTGTTTAGCGTAACTTGCATATAAATTTACAAAAATTTTTTTTACACATGTAGTTTCTAATCTAGGCTTCTGCGCAATTATCTCAATTATTTTCCGAATGACCTCTAGAGTAAATAATGGTCTGGTACCATACAAACATTCGACCATGTTTTTAGTACACTCATGCTGTTTCACTTTCCGCCAATTCATTGCTAATTTTGATCTGCTTAAGTTTCTAAACCTACTTAGAAGCAAATGGTTTATTGATTTCTCATGTATTTATCAGCATCTTTATTTAGTATTTTTGTTCCTTTATTTCGAATAAGTGATCCTAATCAGCTACCTTAAAAACCTCTAGGCACTAATGTTCATTAAAATCCGTCAATTTTTAAAAATTTTGTCCGACATTTTGAAATTTGGAAATCTAACTTCAGATTTGTAATTAGCGACCTTAAAAAACCCCTAGATACCAAGTTTCATCTGAAATGAACGGGAAAGGAACTGAAATAAGATTGACACAAGATTTAACTGGTCAATAATTATAAGTTTATTGAAAGCAAAATCACTCTTTTATATTTACAAAACGTTTACAATTAAAATGTCCCGAATTCCCGACAATCAACGTGCGCGGTCGGCAACGCTCTGCCTCGTTCCCGCTCATTATTCGCTTTCCCTCCCATTTCCCTTTCGGCAAACATCGTGCCACGTTCGGTATTATGCCCTCTCCTAATGAGATTAGACCCATGCCAAAATTATTCCCCTACACATCAAAATCCATCAGCTTTTAAGAAAATTTCTAAAAAATAAACAATTTTCAACAAATATGACAGTAATTTTGGATCCGCCATTTTTAATTTTGAAAATCTGACTTCAGATTCGTAATCAGCGACCTCTGAAACCCCATTATACCATGTTTCATAAAAATCCATCAATTTTTAAAAAAATTCGTATATCACCAAAAATTTGACATGCTTTTTGAGGTTAGGAAAAAACCCAGACGTGCTAGCCTAAAACGGACACCTGATTCGTTTTCAGCGGCCCAAAATACATGATACTGAGAACATCTAACACCGAAACTTTTTTTTTTTTGTGGGGCTGTCAGATTTCAGTTCACATTTTAAAATCAGCCAAAACAATTTTTTTCTTGTTCTTTAGTGAAAAAAAAGGATACGTATTTTTTTATTTTTTTGGTAGCCAAATTTTCGACTTACCAATTTTCGAAATTTTGATTTTTGGAAAGCAGACCTATTTTCAATAACTTATAACTCGAGAATTATTCATTTTTAAAAAATTAAAAAATTTCACAAAGACAAAAAAGTTCAAATCTTCTTCTTCTTTTAAATAATGTTAACGAAACAAATTTTTTAAGAAAACTTTTTTTGTCTTTGTGAAATTTTTTTAAAATCAACAATTTTCGAGTTATAAGTTATTGAAAATAAGTCTGCTTTCCAAAAATCAAAATTTCGAAAATTCATAAGTCGAATATTTGGCTACCAAAAAAAAATAAAAAAATACGTATCCCTTTCTTTCACTAAAGAACAAGAAAAAAATTGTTTTTGACGATTTTAAAATGTGAACTGAAATCTGACGTGGAATCGCCCATATATAGCTTACTTCACTATAGAAATATGAATTTTATATTGAAGTGGATTATATACATTTATTCTATGTTAACATGTACGCTGACACTGAACAGGTTAAACTTTGTTTAACATGTTATTGAATACTATAATTTGAATTTACAGTTAATAATTTTATCATTATGATGAAAAATAATAATTTATTTTATACCACACATGCTCGAATACCTCGTTTTATTGTGCGTGTGAAGCGGGAAGTAACTCGATGTTTATAGGCTAGGTGGCGGCAGCGGGAGATAAACGCACGGACCCTGCAATATCACTTTTCCCATGGAGAAATCATATTGCAGGGTCCGTGCGTTTATCTCCGCTGCCGTCACCTAACCTATAAACATCGACTTCCTCCCACTCACGAAGTAAGAATAAGGAGTCTTCACTTTGAAGGAAAAATGTCCCCAACTATGGTACAAGCATTCCGGAAAATTAGAATAGTCGGAGGTGGCGTTCGTAACGGGAAAAACCTTAAACTATTGATTTCCCTAATGAAAGTCGTCTGCTATTTTTGAAAAGTATATTATAAAATCACATAATTTCATATTTTTGAAAAATTAAGTAATTGAATAAATAGTAAATGTTAAATATGAAATATTATTTGTATTTAAAAAGTCATTTACAAATTAATTAATTTTATTAATTTTAATGAAGTTCTTTAAAAATTCACTAACTTTAAACTTTTTTTTAATACACATTCTTTAACAATCAACTGTTGTTTTTACAGTACGACGAAAGTTCGAAAGGTAGTTTAGTAATACCTTTCCAATGGTATATTATTTTTTTTGGACAAACTAATTTTCCTACAGGTGAATTTAAGTAACGTCACACCTCGAAAATGTGTTTTTTTAGATTCAGCAAAATTGCACGAAGGAAAAAAATATCCAAAAATATGTTTTTCTTACTTAAAAAACACCTATTAATTAAAAAAAATGTTTCGTACGATTGGCAATTTCACTGTAAACTGGTGTGATTTATGACAATTTGAAGAGTTTTTAAAATGTTTTAAATTATTGAATTTTATTTAAATATGATTAAAAACATTTTTAATACATTTACTTTTATAAAGAATTTTAATAATTTTAAAAATAATTGAATTTCGGAAAAGTCATATATTCGAAAGATTCTTAGATTGAATTAATTCAATTTTAATAGATTTTTAATGGAAACTTTTTTACAATTAAATAGATACAGATTACTGTAAAAACAAAAAAAACAATAGTTGATTGTTAAAGAATGTGTATTAAAAAAAAGTTTAAAGTTAGTGAATGTTTAAAGAACTTCATTAAAATTAATAAAATTAATTAATTTGTAAATGACTTTTTAAATACAAATATTATTTCATATTTAACATTTACTATTTATTCAATTACTTAATTTTTCAAAAATATGAAATTATTTGATTTTATAATATACTTTTCAAAAATAGCAGACGACTTTCATTAGGGAAATCAATAGTTTAAGGTTTTTCCCGTTACGAACGCCACCTCCGACTATTCTAATTTTCCGGAATGCTTGCACCATAGTTGGGGACATTTTTCCTCTAATCGACACATGGAGTGAAGACTCCTTATTCTTACTTCGTGCTCCCACTTAAAACGCACAAAAAACGAGGTATCGAGCATTTGTGGTATAAAAAACATATGGGCCGTGGGTGTAACTCTTGTTTATCGTATAATGTTCTCGAAGTTACACCCTTGGTGCATAATATACTATTTATCTTTTACTTTCAAAATTTTTATTTTTTTTATTTTCCTATTTTTAATTTTTCTCGTCTCATGATAAAATAATTAAGAAGCAATCTGATTTCATTATAATATATTCTTTACATAGAACCAGTTGATTCTGATTCCAATTCAGAAGTAGGTAAATTTACTCCACGAAATAGAAGACCTTTTACCGACCCTGAGACAAAGGATGGTATGAATTCAATATTCATTTATAAAAAAGAAATTACTTAGACCTTTAATCTAATTTCATTAATATATTATAATATTTGTGTAGAACACAGTGAATCAGATTCGGATTCCAATTCAGATATTTGTAAATCTATATATGATGATGGAAAAGGTTTTAATGACTCAGGGACAAATGATGGTATGAATTAAATATTTATTTATAAAAAAGAATGATTTAGAATATTTATCTAATATCATTAATTTTGAAATTTAAATCAAATCTATACTATATATGTATATATATATATATATATATATATATATATATATATATATAAATCGAGTCGTTTTGACGCAAGGAATAAGATTTTATTATAGGGTAAATGCACCACTATTCGGACACTTAAGGATATGATGCTTTGTTTAAAATAATTATTACATTATTATCAATTAAAGGAGTTATTCATGATTAAAATCATATAAATTTGTTACAAATACTTCAGTATTTAATAAAATATAAGCATTTTAGTGAAAAAAACAAAAAAGTTTTAGTAGTCGGACACTATTTCTAATGTCGGACATCAGTCAGACATTATGGATTTATAAAGTAAAAAAAATAGTTTTTAATTGTTTTATGCCGAAAAATTAAATTAAAGCTTATTAGGAGTCAATGGTATAATATGTAAATGTTATAAATTTTATTATTTACGATTATTTATGATTCATCATCACCAAATTTTGTGCACTATATTGTGTATTTAACAAAAAACAATCAAGCTTCCGACTACCGGTATAATTGTCCGACTTTACCTGCATTCACCCTATACCAACTTAAATATTGATATTTAAAAAAATTTTTTTATTAAAAACAAGTTTTTTGAAACATGTTGATAAAATTTTTTGTAGGGTATTTTTTTAAAATTCTTGTGTCTATTTTGAGACATTAATGTGATAAATACATAGAGGTATAAATACATAAATATAAGGCCTCTCAGTAGAAAGAGAAAGATCCACAGGTTAGAGAAAAAGAAATGTTGCGTTAAACCTCTACATGTCTTTTTCTATGGCGACTATTCAAAAAAGGACAGAAGGTGGTTACCTCTTTTTTAGTACGGATCGTCGCCACTTATATTATACCTGCTTCCACTCTATTTATAATATCTCTATGGATAAATAAGCCTACAAAATTTTACCCAAATCTGTCAAAACTTATTACAGTTATTGGGTTAACAAAATAACGGGATCCCCCCAACACACACACACACATGCACGCACTTACGTATTCATATCCGGAGATTTGATCAAGGACTCATTTATAAAACTTAGAGAGAAGCAAAAGGGAATGACTTAGAAAATTCATCTGATTTTAATAATGTACCTAATATTATTTATATATAGAACACACTGAATCAGATTCTGACTCCGATTCAAATATTCGTAAATCTATTGATCGTGAAAGAAGTGATTTTAATGCACTTGAGACAAAGGGTGGAATGAATTCAAGAATAGAGGAACCTAAGACAAAGAATGGTATAACATCAATAGTCATTTATAAAATGGAATGCAGAATATATATCTGATTTTATAAATATATTAATATTTCCGTAGAATACGTTGATTCCGATCCAGAATATGAATCCTGTCCAAAAGTTCGTAAGATTACACACTGTGATAGGTCAGATTTTAAAATCTTGAAAAGAAAAAATGGTATAATAAAACACTTTTAATTAAAAAAAATTATATGAAATTCTCGTCTGCGCAGAACATTTGTTAAATCGATTCTTATGTTCTGCGCAGAAGCGATTTTAAGCTGCAAGCGTATTTATCCAAGTTTTTTATCTTTTGAGTATAACTATTAATAATTAATTCATTATACAGACAGAGAAGATAATGACACTCCATCTGCTAAAGCATCAAGTTATGGTATGGGTATACTTGTTCTTAAATGAATAAAAAATGTGGATGAAGTAAAGATAGTTCGATAAAAATTTTAGATTTCTTGGTTTAACATAAAAAAATATTGACAAGCATAGATTAAATTGTTTGAAAGCCTGATTATTTGACTAAAATTCTATCATAGTTTCATCTCGATTGCAATACAACAATTTCATTTTGACCTTTTTCATGGTTTCATTTTACAGGGCCTACATTTATATACATTGTGGTTATCTAGTCTTGAAACCTTGAAAACCAGAAATTTAACGTAAATTTTGTAATGTAATTTAGAAATTTAAATGTAAGAAAAAATATTAAACGAAAGGAATAAATTAACGTTAATGAAATAGATAAATATATTAAAATTATAATTATTGGATTAATTAAAAAATTAAGAGACATCATAAATTAAATCTTTAGAATAATATCCGGATAAGAAGGGAAATCGAAACCGAAGACAAAAATGTCTCAATTAAAGACACCTGTTTTTACAGTGCGGTTGCCTTGAAAGCTCAAATTTTTAATATTGTTTTTTCGTATTAATTTATCATACATCATAATAAATGGCGCGCTATTTGCACGAGCTGTTTTAACAATAAAACGACAATGTATCTTTATTTCATCCTTCCTTGTTGTTAAATTTCATGATTTCAATTAAATATTTAATTTTTAATATATCAGAACCGACCTTGTCACGTAAACATAAAATTAAGTGCTACTTTTAATCTTACAGTTAGCTTGACATAAGTTTTTGTAATTAATGACAAGAATTTTTTATGTAATTCTTTATAAACCACCTAGAGGACACCGGGGTTACCTGGCGCATTTTTTACTTTTTTTTGTTTAACTAATTCATTTTTGCTTTTTTTAGAACCTCATTGTGCAGAGAACTTGCTATGACATCTCAGCTTTAATTTAAAAAAAGAAAAGTTGCGATATATTTTGTTTTGTTTTTTTTATAACAATTTGTTTGAAGCTGTGCAAAGTGCGCCAAGCAACCCCGGGCCGGGGTTGCCTGGCGCACCACCCGGGGTTGAATGGCGCAGGAGAGAAATCAATTAAATCATATGATTTAAAGTTTCAACAATATATGAAACAGAGAAATAAGTCTTATTCATCTATTATTTTAGAATAAAAATATTTGGAAAATGAGCATATTTAATTGAAATTTAAAACATTTGTTTTGAAATGTCAAAATTATAAAAATTTGGCTAAAAAAGTCGTTGCAAATATTTATGAAAATCGCATTTTTCAGTTAAAGTTTTTTAAAACGTATTACTCTTTGTTCCTACTCATGTATAAATTCAGTAAAATTATATTTCACTAAATCCATTTATAAAAATTTTAATTAAGAACACGTATAATTAAATTACTTTCTTATAATATTAATTTTCAATGACATAAAGTTTTATAACATAGAAGTTTTTCTTTACTTGTAAAAAAAATAATTATCTTTATAAAAAATTAATAATAAAGTATTAAATTTAACCTTTTAATTTAAATTTTTGAGATCGTTTGTGGTATCTGAATTTTATAAAACAAAATTTAAATTCAAATTTTGATCTTTCATAGTATATCTGAACCATTTTATTTATAATTAAAATACAAATGCCGTGATAGGACTCGTGAGCGACGCTAAATTATACAGCAAATTATCGATGTGGTAGATTTCTCTTCGTTTAAAGCAGCGTCTACAATAAGCGCGTCGGACGTGTCCGACCGGTCGCGACGCGGACGTGCTGACGTCACAGACGCACTGCTACCAACTATGGCAACTTTGCAGCTTGTCAGTGACAAATGTTCCATAATAATATATTAATAAAATTAAAATAATAAACATTTACACTTATTAAAATAAAAGTTTTAATCATCATATTTATTTAAAATTATTACATTTGATTTATCATTTTTTTTACAAAGACTTTAATACACAATTTATTGTTGCAATTTTGTGGAAAATAGTAGACAAATATTTGCTACATAGAAAATATAACCAAACATTATATACAGTTTTTTTTATTTTAAACTTTAATTTTCTGTGGTATCAAGAAACAATAATTTTTTATTTTTTATACCATTTAATAATTTAAAATTTAAAAATTCAATTATTTTATAAGTTAAAGAAAATAAAATTCCAGTAATTTTTAAAAAATTTTCTGCTTTTGCCATATTTTTCACTACTTGCACCATTTGTCATTTTCAATATATCATAAAATTTTTGAATAAATTCAAATATAATTGGTTTTTTTCATGTTCTTATGTTAATATTTTAAAGGTATTTTAAATGTCGAATGATAAACATTTAGAGGTTTTTTTTTGTTAAATGAAAATTATACTAAAAAAGATTTAAAAAGTTTGAAAAGTTTTTTCATTTTGACAATAGTCTTGTAAAATATATAATACTTGATATTACTTATACTTTTTAAAGGAAAATCATTTGAAATAAATTTTAAAAATCATTTTTTCGTTAAAACAAATGATTTCAAATTTTTAGAATTTTTTTGGTGTAACTTTGACGTTTAGTATTTTTTAAGAAGAAAGATAATATAAGTGAATGTTTAGAAATAATTGTTATTATATAAAAAAATTTGAATCCTAAGAACTTAAAAAACCGTGTATTATTTAAGAAATTATTAAAAAATTTATGAAACATTGAAGAGGATAATTTTATAAAAATAGTTTATTAAAACATTGACAAAATGTTTTATTTTACACGTTTATTAAATTTTTCAATCCATTTAATATAGAAGGGACTTTTTAGTTCAGGACACCTTCTTCCGCTATAAAATAATCTGACAATATTTCTCTTTGTTGGACAGCAACCAGAGGAATCTCATAATTTTCTTCAACTACAAGATTGTCATTATTATTTATGTTTTGTCCTGGATTTTCGGGAAAATACAATCTATCCCCTTCGTCCAAAAGTAGTTCTTCAGTTAAAAGAAAATTATGAAGACAAACCAATGCTTTTACTACATTTATAGAAGTTTGTAATTTGAAGTCCAAGCTTCTTTGTAAAATTCGCCATTTTGATGACAAAATTCCAAATGCATCTTCTATGCAGTTTCTTGCTCTTGATAGCCTGAAAATGTTACTAAATAATGATTGCATATTTCATATTGTCCGGGTGTTCAGTAGTCTGGGAACGAAATTAGAAGTCAGAGAAAAGTAAAATTATTTTTTTAAAAATCAATGAAGAATTCAAGTATTGCAAATTTTTTCAAGAAAAAGTTCAAAATAATTGCTGAGAATTTATTTTTGAGTTAGATTGATTTTTAAAATATGTTTAGTTCAAGCATTGAGATCTTTTCTAATTTAAAAATTATTTAAAGCATTTTACTAAATAATTTTCAAATAATTGAGATTATATAGGTTTCTTTAAAATAGACATTAAAAGTTTTTACTATTTTAACTTCGTAATTTTACTGTAAACTTTAATTAAATTAATTGCCTAAAATAACTTTAAAATATGCTGAGAAAAAATGTACTAAAATTTTTTATTAAAGAAAAATTTATTTTTATTTTATATATAATATAACATTAAGTTAATAAAAAATTTATTTGTCAAACAAATTTTAAATTACAATAGTTCAAGAAAAGAATGTGATAGAAAAATTAAGAAATTTTTTTTTAAGTCTTGCTGTACACCCTGATTATGTCTGAAAGTAATACTTTATAAATATTTTATCAGTTTACCTGTAATTGAATGTTCTTCTTCTTTCATCTAACCCACGATCTCTCGAATAAGGCCTCATCATAAAATTTTCAAGAAGAAAATTTTCATCACCGACGAAAGAGTGTGGGAGAACAATATTTGTTCTAGGTAGAGGAGCATTTGGCGGTAAATCTATTAAATTATTTTTTAATGCAGTATAAAAATCGGTGTACCTAAACGCAGATATATCACTGACAGATCCGAAATCTCCTACGTCTATCCACGTGAACCTATAAAAAGCATCACAAATTGCCAGTAACTTGAAACTGCAAAATTTTTTGTAATTGAAAAATAAGGTTCCAGAACGAGGAGGTTTTTTAATGCGGATTTCTTTCTCATCGATTGCTCCTATACAATTGGGAAAATTCCATTTTGTATGAAATCCACGAGCCACGACTTTCCAATCAAAAGAATTTTTTCTTGCAAAATAAATAGGAAATAAACAATCATAAATAACATCACATACTTCGGCAATTATTTGGTATGATGTTGATTTACCAATCCGAAAGAAAGCAGATGTTGTTTTATGACTATCCCCGTTACCTAAGTAACTGAAAATGAATAAAATTTAAAAAAAAATTAATGAACTTACGTTAATAATAATAAATATAAAATTAATACAATTGAAATAAAACTGTATACGATACATGAAATATTTCAGTCATTTACTATTATTTTTTTAATAAAAAAGTTTGTTAAAATGTACCTACTTTTTTTTAACAGAAAATTATTAAAATAAAAGGTCTTACGAATAAAATATGATTGATCACAAAATGTGTCAAAAAATTTTTGAAGCAGATAATTTTTCATTTTATAAAAATAATTCTAATAAACAAAAATTTTTCCTAGTATAATTTCTCTTCCATTTAATTAAAAATCGTATTCTTTAATTTCATGTAAATTACAGCTTTCTTCATTTAAAAACTAATTCTTTATTATTTAAGATGTACGATTATTGTAGTATAAAACTTAATTTTAAATAACATTTTGTGTCAAATATTTATTTAGAGATATGAAAATTTGATCAAGGACAATTGTAAATTTTAAAATTCTGTTTAACGAAAATTGTCAACAATAAACAAAAATATTATCTTACAGCTATGCAAGAAAAAATTAATACAAAGGTTTATTATTAACAGTAATGGACAATATTTTTAAAAAAATAATCTTTAAGATATAAAATATTAATCTTTTCTTATTTCTTGAACATTATACATAATTGAACTGAATTCTTTAATCAAAAATAAACAAAAAAAATTTACAAAAAATTTATATATGAAAGAAAACAGTTTATCATATTCTTACTTTAATGTAATTATCAAACGAAGCCGTTTTGATAGGGGTCTCCTTTTACTTCTTTTAATTAGCCTGTGTCGAATAAGTCCATATAGAGTTTCAAATTGATGAGGTGTCATCCTTGTCATGTTGTAAAATTCCTCATGATCATTTTGAGCAAAGTAAATAAAAAGTGTTTGGTAGGCACCAAATAAATCGCGCATTTCATTTGTAATGTGACGTTTCACCCACCAACGTCTAAATCTTAATTTTCTATTGCACCATTGCATGTACAAATGCATAAGATTAAACCACTGAGCAATTATTGAAAGTAAAAACATTACAACAATCATTCTAAACTTCAATATTTAAATTTTAAAAGAAAACAGTGTAGCAGTGTCAATATGACTTTAAGTACTTGTATCGTGATTTAAAGGAGAATTTAGAATAAGTGTCATTATTTAGTAATGGAGAATTTACATGTATATAGAAAAAAAATTTCAATAATGTTTTCGACGTCAATAATATTGATTGATTGTCCAAAATCATTCAAATTTTTGACTACCAATGAAAATTGTCCATGTCAAAAAAAAAAATTTTTTTTAACAAAAATTCAATAAAATTAAGTAAAATTAAAACATATCTTTTAAATGTTAGAAAATATATTTTTTTTTAAATTATGGATGAATCATTAATTAACTTAATTGCATCTAAATTTTAGGATATTGTTCATATATAATTGACATCCGATTATTTCCAGAAATTTCAAGTTATGTATGATGTTCTAGAATATTCTGAAAACATTTTAGGGATAAATTATTTTTATAAAATCGCTTGGTATCCCTATGACGTCAGTTAAATATTAGATGCTATGGGGTAATTCATTGAAAGTAATTAATATAGAATATACAAATTATAAATTTTTGTTGAAAAATAAATTTTATTTCAATAATTTTTACTATACTTAAATTACAAAAAATATTTTGTTTAACAATAATAATACTTTTATGTTTTAGAGATATCAATTTTTTTTAAAAATTATGAAATCATCATAATAAATGCGATATATACTTTTAAGAAAACTGTTTTCTTCTTCAAAACGTAAATTTTTAAAAAAAGTAAAATAAAACGTAATGCAAAAGTAAGATAATTCAGCTTAATTAAAAGCATAATTGTTCACAATAAAAAATTTTCTACACATTAAGACATATTGAAATTATATGCATTATATTTAAAAACAATTTATCAAGAATTTATTCCAAGAATTCTTCGAGTATATCAAGAATTAAAGGGAACAGCTCTTTTTGATCAGCAAGAGAAAGGTTTAAATATTCTCTTTTAAATATATTGAAAAAACCGTCATTATTTCCAGTATCAGGTACATTTTTCTTATTTATATGTTGTTCTTTAGTGCATTTTATTTGATAAGCTGACATTTCCTTTTTCAATTGTATATATTCTTGAAATTGAGTTGGAACACTCGACAGACTGGCCGCAACGTCTGAAATTTTTTTCAAAATTGATTTGCTATCTTCATCTTCTTTTTCTTTCTTTCTTTTTGCAAAGTCATCCCACGCTGGTACAACCATTCGTTGAATTTTAGCATGTTCTGAAATTTTTGAAGGTTGGTTTTGCTTTTTTCTTTTAAGGGACTCTTGGAACATTGAAACTGCTACAGGTACTCTTGAATTAGCTCTTATTCGTGAAACAGAGCCGGAAATTGAAGGTAAAGTTTCCGAAACATCTACTACTTCAACACATTGATTAGGAGTTATAAGCGATACAGAACCAACATTTGAATGTAAGGATTTCGATGAATCTAGTTCATCTTCTTCTGAACATATTAATGATGACGATTCTGGTGAGCTATTTGGGGGAGAAGATGGTATTATTTGCACAGATGCGTCACAATTTGACAAAGATGTTGTAAAGTTATTATAATCATTTATTGCATTTAATGATGAAGGTTGTGACTCCTGTTGTTCTATACATATTGGCATCGAGATAGAATTAACTGGAGATTGTGACGAAGTTGTCAATAATGGAGATGCAAATGTGATTAAAGTTTCTTCTGAAAATTCTTGCGAGGTCATCATCAATGTTGCATTTTTTGACATGCTTCTTGTTGATTGTTTATTACTGTAATAAATTTTTTTTATTTATTTCTATAATTAAAATTAACTTTTTATCTCTAAGTAAGTAAATACACGGAAAAAAATTTTCTGTAGAATTTACAGAAACTCCTGCGCCATCTACTGATGTTTCTCCAAATAGAGAAATATGTTGAATCATTGGCATTAAAATCTGTTAATTCTACAAGTTTGAGCTACAGTTCTTAAAAACTGTTGAGTGACCAAATTATGTATACTATATGGGGATAATATATATTTGGTATAGAGTATTTCTTATAGGTTATATTCTCCTCCGAATACATTAAATTCGCGGAACACTATTGTATAAATTAGTATAACTTCTATGTAAATAAATTCATCCTTCAATAATTTTCTAAAAAAAAAATGAGGAGCAAGTTTTCAAAACTTATGATAAATCCACTTTTTCTTATGTCGAGAAATTGAAACAAACGACTTTTCTCACTTAATCACTACAGTTAATTTTAAAATAAAAAATTTGTAATAATTTATTTCTATAATAATGTTTATATACTTAAGACGTTTCCTTTTTAATTAAACTTTCTTGACGACACTATGATAATAATAAAAACACTAAATTCGCCTTAACCTCTCGCACTCAATCGTACTCAGCCTTAGTCGAATCACTGCATTGTTTTCGCGCATGCGTTAAATCCTTATAGAAAATATCTGTAGAATTAACAGATTTAGGAACATGTAAAATCTCTAAATCGACGTTAAAGACTTAACAGAAAATTTTTTTCCGTGTAATATAATTAAGTAAGTAAAATACTTTTTGTGATGAATATGAGGTATCAGAAACTCTAAGTCTTGGAAAAAAGTCCACTTGCTATAATTTCTATTATGACATCTAACAAATTTATCACGAAGATTTTTCCATTTTTTTTTATAATCTGTAGAAAAAAATTTTTAACATTAAAATAAATAACTAACTAGAAATAATAAAATAAATTTTTCAATGAAGAGGTTATATATTTAACTTCTTTTGGTTTTGATATTCAAATATAAGTATTTATTTTTCACGTATTCTTGATTTGACCTTCATTAATGATAAAAATTTTTTTTCATTTTTGACTGAAAAAGTAACGGTACTGTATTTTCTTGCTTGCAATAAAATAATTTAACCGTTTCATTTATCATACTTATTATAAATTTACTACTTTAAATATAATACAGTAATTGTATTAATTTAATTAAACTTAAAACATATTTCAATAAAACAATAATTGAACGTACCTTTAAAATTAAATTTACGCGTTTCCATTATTTTGCCTAACTTATCCCACATTTCATTTCTTTCTTTATCACCAGATATTCTCTCACTAGAACTGTAAACCCATTTATTTTGTTTTACAATTTCGATAAAGGATCTAATATCCTTATCACAAATATTATTTGCCATTGTTTTATTTCAACAAATTCAACACATAAACTAGCGAAGCAATAAACAGAAAATGGTAGGTGTAGTTTGATTTTCACATAATATGGAAAGAGTATTCTGAAGTAAGGTATTTAATTAAAGCATGAAGTATATAGTTTTGTAGATTAGTAAATTAAATTTAAAATTAAATTCAATTTACAATGTCTTCAGATGTAATATTTTGATTATTTGAAGACTATACTCATGTGATTGTACCCTAAGCCATAAACACTTAAATGTAAATACATATGATGACACACTGTAGTGTGTAATTTTATCTGACCACGCGATTATTTAATAGTGAAAAAAATTCGAGAATAGGCTGTTTAAAAAAAGTATAAATCATGTCTCAAATTCCGCAGGATGTTTCTGTTGATGAAATAATAATTTTTCTTGTAAAAGAACGTAGCTATTTATATGATAAATCATCATATAGCTACAAAAATAATGACAAAAAGAATAACGCTTGGGAGGAAATAGCCCAACAAGTGTTTGAAATAACAGGAACACCAATTACAGGTATGTAAAATCTACTAATATGTATAACTTAAAAAAAAATTAATCCTTTAATTTAAATTATGTTATATTTAATTTAATTTTAGATAAATTTCTTAATGTTTTGTCAATAAACTATGTATGTAATTAATTAAAAGTTAATTATAAGCCAAAAATTCTGAAAGATTAAATGAACAAAATATTTTTTTCAATATATAAATTATTAAAAATTATAATGTCAATGTAAAATAAAACAGTAAATTAACAATTATTAAATTAAAAACTTCTTTTTAGATATTTAAAATAATATTTTGTAATAAAATTCATAATTACAAAAGTTTCAAAAAAAATTTTGTTCATTTAAACGTTAAAAACTTTTAGCTCATAGTTAATTTTCCTACAACCAAAAATTTTCAAAGTCAATACTTTAGTTCTGATGTTTGTTTTTATTATTCTCTCATTCAATGTGCTTAATAAACGTATTATTGTACTGTTTGAAGGTTAATATATTGTTCTAATAATATTAAAATAAAAATAAATGATCATATTATTGTACATAATAAATTTATAGAAAACTACAAAATATTAACATTTTGAAAAACAAAATATATCATAAAAATTAATTTTCAAAAACAAAAATTGTCTTCTATTAAAATTGATGAGACATCAGTGACTTTTAATACTACTTTGTTTATTTTTTTAAAAAATTAATTATTTATAAATAAATAATAATAAATAAGTTTATTATCATGCATTTTCTCATTACTACTTAATAATATATTTTAAAATATTTTAAATATTTTTTATATAAAGATTTTTTATATAATATAATATTGATATGTGTTATAAATGTTATTATATGTTTTCATGTTGATTACCTCTTTACGCATATTATCTTTATAGCTGAAAAAGCCAAAAACAAATGGGAGTACTTTAAAACAAAGTACAGTGAACAACGTAAAGATATAGCAGTTTACATCCCATCAGGGTCAGCAGCAACTAAAAACCCGAATATTAAGTGGAAATATTACAATTGTATGCTCTTTTTAGAGAAACATGTTACTCATCGACAGTGAGTATAATAAATCTAAGTAATTGATCAATTGTTTTTAATCTGGAAAATGTGACTATAATATTTCTAAATAATTAAATTTTATAATATGTTAAAATTTTATGTTTTCTAAGTTTATTATATTTAATAATGTAATGTACATTTTATTTGTTTTTAGATATTATTAATAAAAATTATAAGGTTCATTTTTTATAAATCTTAAAATATTTAAAAACTTTACTAATTAAACACTACTGAATATTATATTGTACAATAATTGTTAAATTATTTCTAATTAAAATAAGTGAATTCTCCTATTTAAAATAGGTGATTTAAAAACTAAATTTTGAAATTTATAAAAATATTATTTTTCATTTAACAGAACAGACAGTTCCTACAAATTAACGGACGATGAATGGAAAGGTGAAGAAAAAAACGATATAAACGGTACAATAAAAGAAAGTTTAATTTTTGATGGTAAGTAATATCAATTTTTTATTCTTTTCTAAATTTTAATAAGGTTGCTGGAAAATGTTATATTTTTAGAAATATTAAATAAATTATGTTAATTAAAAATTTTTAATTCTAAAAATTATTATATATTTTAGTACCTATAGCAAAAATAAAATCTTGGCAATAATAAAAATTATTATAGATGATCTTAGCTTTACATATTGACATACTTATTCATAAGTATGTAAATTTAGCTATTACATTTTTTTATTCACAATTAACCTAAATGATCATATTTAAAAAAAAATAAAATAAATATTCAAACAATTTATTTCAGATAAAGAAGAAAATCAAAATATAGAAGAGAAAAGATTAAATTGTCAAACAATTGATTATTTGTCTGCTTTCAAAGAAACATGGGTGAGAATACCGCAGTCGCAACGAAAGAAATGTTTCTTTAAATTAATTGAAATTATTGAAAACAAACAAAAAAAATGAAATAAATAAAAAATAGTATTGACAAAAATTCATTTACAGTTTTTAAAAAAGGAATTTAATAAATAACATTAATCTTGACAAAAATAGTTGTACATTTCTTTAAAAAAATGTAATAATTAAAAATTATTATTGACAAAACTACTTGTACAGTTTTTAATGAATCATTTAAAAATTTTTAATTAAAATAAATTTATTAAAAAATGGAATAAAAATTTAAATAAAGAAGTATAATTAATTAACCTTGGCGTTTCACTGACAAGCTGCAAAGTTGCCATAGTTGGTAGCAGTGCGTCTGTGACGTCAGCACGTCCGCGTCGCGACCGGTCGGACACGTCCGACGCGCTTATTGTAGACGCTGCTTAAGCGCGCCAGATAACCCCTGCCAAAACGCGCCACCTAACCCCGTATGTATTTTTTATATATTCACTAATTTTTTATTAAAAATATTAATGTAAATCAAAAATTTCTTTCTATTTCTTAAAAAGAAATGTTTAGAGCTCAAAACTTGATATTTAACCTTTTCTCAAAACCATTTTTTAAAAAGATATAACAAAAAAATGAAGACGTTAAAAATTTACTTTGCAGTACCAAAATCAATTATTTAAATATAAAATCTATAATAATCAATGAATAACAATGAAATTTTGTACAAAGTTATAGTTAATCAAGTGGATTAACTTGAGTAAGGACTGAAATTAATTGGAATGAATACTTTTGAATAAACTCAAGTGCGCCAAGCAACCCCTGCGCCAAATAGCCCCGGTCTCCCCTATATATAAATAACTTAATGATTAAATTATTAATTTACCCTTTCCACCCTACTTAAGCGTTATGTAATTTACGGATATTATATCCTATTAACCTCTTTACAATGACTGACCTCTATAATACACATTATTATATTTATAATATAATATATTACAATATAATATATATAATACAATATAATATAATGTAAATTATTATAAATAAAAAATTCTAAAGTTTTTGAGATCACCAAATCCAAATCTTTATGCAAGATCAGAAAATTGAAATCGACATAAAAATAATAATTAAATAGTTCATTAATTTTTTGTCTTGAAAATTTCGTTAGGGGTAGTCCATAAACAACTTAGCCCTGCAGGGGGAGGGGGGGGGTCAAGCTATGTGCTACGACAAGACGAAAAATGGCGCTAATGTATGAAATAGGGTGCTTCATAGGGGGGAGGAGGGGAGTTCAAATTCTCAAAAAAGTGGGTTATGGACGACCCCTTTTCACTGCACCGTGTATCGCATAATTTATAATAATATAGTGAAGCGTTATTTAGTTGATGTTCTTAAGGAATATTTACTTTTATAGATGCTGCATCACCCAATTTGTTATCAAAAACGCAAAGGAAAAGAAAACTTTCTCATAATGGTATAACTTTAATGATTTTTTTACTTTATTGAAAATTTCTCGAACATATTTTTATGCAAAACACACTGAAACGCCGATTATATGGTCGGCTCAAATGAATCCATCAAAACCGCAAAGGCAAATTTGACGAGAAATACGTAGGCCTTTTTTCACCAACCACACATAACATTTTGACCGTATATGTAATTACATATGGGCAAATCTAAAAAACATGGCCTTTTTCGACAAAAAAAATAAATTTTTTAAAATTGTAAGCACATATGTGTTTCATATATCATTTTAAACATAATTTTTCAATAAATCAGAAAATATGAGTGTAATTAATTTTCATCAATTGCTTCAAAAGTTAGACGCAAAATAAACTTTTGGTTGAAATTTCAAGAGCTCACTAATCGCTAATAAAAAAAGAACGAAAATATGATTTCTTAATACTGGATTATCACTTGTCAGGCAAGTCAGAGAAGTAAGAGAAATGTTAGGGAAATTTTTGAAAAATTGAATGAAATAAAAAATATTTAAAAAATTAGCATTAAAAAAATTTTAATTATAAGTGAAAATTTTTTTAATGTCAGGGAAATTGAAAAATGTATTTTCAATAACTTTTGACGTTTATGAATAGGTTACAATTCTCAATACGAATGAACATAGTGATTAACAAAAAAACATGAAAACTTTCTTATTTTCAAAGAGGCAACTTCGCGTCAACTTCGAAATAAATACGTAGAAAACCACACGATGCAGTTAATCACGTTTTTATACCCTTCTGATAGAAAAATTTTTGAAGCATTCTGCAGGCATTTGTAAAAATAAAAAATTATTTTTGGAATTTCAAGTCGCATAACGCATAAAATATTTAATAAATAACTCCAAATTTTTTCTGAGGCTTCAAGTAATAGTACTTGAATTTTATCTAAAAGTAACTAGGTTGTTATATTATATGATTATAAAAATAAAACCAAGTCACCTAAAAGTTACCTGTATTTTAGATTTGCCCATATTTCCACAGCATCAGCTTTCCAGTGTACATTTCTTTTTATTATGATTTTTTCAAATCTTATTATTTACTTTGAGAGACTAAAATTATATTTTGAGCAAAATATTTATTTAATTATGCAGAAATTCATTTTAATATATTTATTTTCTTTTTATTTATTTGAATTTAAAGTTTTATAATACACATAAAAATATTTTCTATATAATCTTAAAATTGAGCATTATACATATTTTGTATTCCTGAATACTTTTATATCATATTTTTTTTAAGTTTTTATTTCTGTCAATAAAGAAATTTTATTAGTAAGACACATTTTGTTTAAAAACTAATGTTTATAATTTTAATACCTATTCATAATGATTGTTGTTCTTTAGAATTATCTGATTCTGACGTCGAATCTGGCGTAAAAAAATCTCCAAAAGTTACGTACAAGAAATACTCAATAATTAAAGTAACCAGTGCCGATGGAAAAAGGGAGGTTGGTATAAAAATTATAATATAGAAATGCGATATCACTAGTTTTTCGACATTTTAAATGAAACTTATGTACCTAGTAGTTATTTTTAATGGTTTCAAATTTCAGAAATCAAAAACAGTTTGAAACAATTGAGGGCCTAAAAAGCACAATCGACGTTGTTCTGTTGCGCACATCGTCCGCGCAGTTGTGGCTGGCTCAGATAGGGGACATCGGAGAGCGCACTGCGTCGTTTGTTCTTTCCAGGTCTTCAATTGTTCATTTAGGTATGATGACGTAAGAAATAATTTAGTATAGGTTATCGTGAATTTGAAATTTCAAAATTTAATTTAAATTAAAACACTTTGATTTACATTAAAAATAGAGAAAACGTTGAATTTAAAATATTAATACGTACTTTCATTTGATTCTACTGACATCCTCACACAAACGTACAAATAATTTTGACATAAATTAATGAATAATGATGTACCTTACCTTATCTTAATTGACAATACTAGGTTTGCTTTCATTATTTACCTATTCCCTTAATGGATATGACGTCACTGAATCTGCGCATTCTCCTGACACTTTCTGCACCTGGTCTTGAGGTGGCGGGTCCTAAGTGAAAATATTCTGGTGGAACTTACGTAGAATTATTTACGCATTAATCCAACTGTCATTTTAAAGGGTTCACAAGGGTCAATACCGTCAGCAAACATGTTTATTAAAATTTGTTTCATATAATAAATAATAGAGGTGTGCAAAAAGCCCGAAAACTCGGGTCGGTTCAGGCTAACTTTTTTTCGGGTCGGGTCGGGCTCGGGTAACCCGAAAGTGTCGGGTACCTGAAAAATTTCTGGTAGCCCGAATGTTTATGTAGCATTCCAGTACTCGAAATCTCAAATATTTTTTAATAATAACTGAAATTAAATTTTAAACAATAAAAAATGTCAAAAACCTGAAAAGTTCGGGTACCCGACAACATTCGGGTTTTTGAAAAAGCCCGACCCGAACCCGACTCGAGCCCGAATTAACCAAGCACGACCTGACCCGAAAATTAAAAAGCCCGAAATGTTCGGGTCGGGTTTCGGGCTTTTTGCACACCTCTAATAAATAAATTTCTTAATTGACCAGTTTGATATATCTTCAAATTAGACTAATGAATAAAGTAACTTATAAAATTTTAGTTAAAAAATATTGAAAATCAGGCTCGTAGCAACAGATCCCTTCCAAAACTCAATTATAATATATTAGTTTTTTAAAAAAATCTATAGAAAATTTTAAAAGTTATTGAAAAAAATGTGTCGTTTATATACACTTTTATAAGTTAACCATGTTAATTAACAAACTTTTAACTTAAATATCTTCTTTAAAAAACTGTCAATTTTTTTTTAAACTTTGCAAATGTGTAGATTTCGTTGTTAACTGATAAAATTTAAAATTTCATGGAAATCTATAGAAAAGTGTGATCGTGCTCGTATACTACCTTAAATTACTTATTTGCTAGTCTACTTTAAGATATGTGAAAGTGCTCAATTAGAAAAATTTATTTATTACATGAAAAAATAAAATTCTAAACAAACATACGTTTTCTGACAGTTTCAATGTAATGTAACCCATGTAACCCCTTAAGAAAGTTGGAAAGTCTTTCAAATTCTTTGATAATGATTGTCGCTTTATTATGATACGGCACTGAAGGGTTTGAATGAGGTTAAATTGATAAACCTATTTTCGAATTCATTTTTCTTAAATAAACTGACCCTTTTTGTAAATTATTGCGGAATGATACTATAATATGACTGGAAAGCTATTTGCAAAACAACAGTCCAGCATTGATTCGTTGAAAAAATGTAACTTCTCCAATATAATCCTATGGGTAGTATTGGTTTAGTATGGGTTCCCTATGAAAAGAACAGTGGATATATGTCTCTGGCGCAATTTGTGTCAGTCTTATGATTTAAAGAAATTAATGTTCTAAAATTAATTAATTAAATTTAATACGTGACATCAAAATTTAAGGATATGGATAAAATTATGTGTATCCTTACGCGTCATAGACTCAAATATATTTTCATTATCTTCGATTTAAACTCCAATGGGTTTATACGCGACTTGTCTTTGAGCTATACAATATTCGCATATTATATTTTCATAGATTGAGAAAATTCATTTAGGAAATGATGTTT